CCGGTCCCTCCTCCGGCTCTGGATCTGGCAGCAGGTCCGGCGGCGGGTCTGCAGCTTGGGCCGGAGCTCCTGCCTCCCCAGCGGTCTCCCTCAACTGAGCAGCCCAGCAGTCTTTTATAGCGAGGCTGCACTTCGAGCATGCCCAGTAGGGCTGTGGAGGAGGGGCGTGTTCTGCCCAATAAATGGGCTCCCCTTCCTCCTGCTCAGTGCGGGGCAGGTTCGCCCCGTCACACTCCGAATCTCCGGGTCTGCAGCTTGGGCCGGAGCTCCTGCCTCCCCAGCGGTCTCCCTCAACTGAGCAGCCCAGCAGTCTTTTATAGCGAGGCTGCACTTCGAGCATGCCCAGTAGGGCTGTGGAGGAGGGGCGTGTTCTGCCCAATAAATGGGCTCCCCTTCCTCCTGCTCAGTGCGGGGCAGGTTCGCCCCGTCACACTCCGAATCTCATTAAGGCCCCAAATTCATATTCTTCAGTGCTTTGCTGAATCAGATCCTCTCTTGGGGTATGTCTACACTACAGCGCTAATTCAAACTTCATTTTAGTTGCCCTCCCCTCTCCCAGCCTCTCTCTTCCCCTCTCCCACCTCCTTTTCCCAGTCTTCCCGAGTTTTGTTAAATAAAGAGAGTTTCTATTTTTGACCACACATGTCCTTTATTTTGTACATCAGGAAGGGGGGCTAGGGACGGGTAAGTGGAAGGAGGTGAGGGAGGAATGGGGTACGAGCCCCCGGTGAGGAGGACTGAGGTGGCTCTGCGAGCTCCTCGGGATGGAAACTCTCCTGCAGCCCCCCGATTGACCCCCCCCCCCCCGAGGCGATGTGCCAAGTGTGGGCACTCAGGGCACTCCAAGACAGGACTGCTTTGCACGCAGGGAACCCTGAGAACTGTCTGTCCGGGGTGGGGGTTAGGTCCCTTTAAGCACAGCCCTCAGCTAGCCTGAGGCAGCAGCTCCACGCTCAAAGTCCTAATCTGATGCCCTGCCGGCACTGCTTTCGGCCAACCTTAACCTCGGTTCAGGGTCCACTCAATGTGGACATGCTAGTACGAATTAGCAAAATGCTAATTCAAACTAGTTTTTAGGTCTAGATATACTAATTCGAATTAGCTTAGTTCAAATTAGTGCTGTAGTGTAGACATACCCTAAGTGAGGCAGAAAGAGGCAGGACCTTATTTGGTGCCTCCTCCACTTCTAACAGCCTAGAAGTTAGTGAGATTGGCCTATGCTTCTACTCCCTAATGGATGGTGGAGTGGTGTGGCCTTCCTGTATCTTGGCGAGCTCCGAATGGATTATGCCTGAGTAAGAAGATTTCTCTAGGGCAATACTGTCTTCTCCACAGGTTACCCTACATAGACGATTTCCCACTTGTCTCTCTTCATTTGTACTTATAAATATCAACTACAAAGTTATAACCACAAAATTGTGCCTACAAAAATTTTCAAAATCAGATCTATGGTATATTTGAAGTTTCTATGTATCAATATTTATATCAAACCAAACTCTGTTTACCAGGTCTGGATGTGTGGAGGAGAAATTGAGATCATCCCATGCTCCAGAGTTGGACATATTTTCAGGAATGACAACCCATACTCCTTCCCTAAAGACCGGATAAAAACAGTGGAGAGGAATTTGGCACGTGTTGCAGAAGTCTGGTTAGATGAATACAAAGAATTGTTCTATGGACATGGTTACCATTTAATCCAGAAAAATCTGGATGTTGGAGACTTGACTCAACAAATAGAACTGCGGAAGAAGCTTAAGTGCAAAAACTTTAAGTGGTATCTGGAGAACATCTACCCCGACCTGGAAGCTCCTCTTGTTAAGGCTGGTGGGCTGGTATGTGAACTTTATAAGGGCAAATACACTACAAATTCATGTTTGCATTTCTTTGTTAACTAGACACTTTATTTAAACTTACTTCCTATGGTTGGGCTGTGACACACAAGCTCAATAACTCCTAGTATGAGACCCTCCACACAAGTGTTTCTCAACCTTTTTTTATGAAGTATCCCTTTTAAAAAAATTATAAGTACCCCAAGTACATATGGTTTTCAGACACAAATTTGTTTCTATCATTGCAACACATTTGTTTAAACAACTTAATCGTAGCCGGGTGGGCAATTAAATTTTTGGGTGTAAAAAGTACAAAAAATAAAGCGCTGTAAAACTTAAAACAAAAATTCAGTTTTCTCCAAATTTCAGTCGTGTTGACGTACCCCCCCCCCCCCTCAAGCACCCCTGAGGGTACTCATACCAGTGGTTGAGAAACACTGCTCCAGATCGCTGTCTCCCTCAACCATGGGTGAATTTCACCTTACTGCATACTATTGTTTAGCATAAAATGGTTTAATTATGTTATAGTGGTTCTCTTTGCTCTGTGACAGGTGACAAATCTGAAGATATGGCCCTTTGATTGGTAATCCTGTGCTTCCCCAGATTCCATATTTTTGCACTTCCTACCTCCCCCCAAAAAATATTTTTGCACTTCCCTCTTTTTTTCCCCCCAAAGAGAAAATTTTACATTAATAAGTCTCTTCAGTGATAATTTATGCATGGAATAGATAGATATAGTACATGAACAATAATTATAGTTTTGTACTAAGAGCATAACACCACTAGAGGGCACTAGAAATCTATTTTTCTCTTCCACAATAAAAACAGCCTCATTTCTATTTTCAAATAAATAGCTTAAAACTCGGTCTCCAGGCAACAAAGATATAGTGGACAAAATATTTTTTTCAGAGATATTTTGGGTTCAATCCTGCTTTCCATATCTACCTCAAATTCCAATTGATTTTAGTAGAAGTGTTGATTATGTAAGGAATATAGCAAGATAAAGTTATATGTAGTCTCTAATTTACTTCTTTTTAATTTCCACTGATGTTATAGTCAGACCATTCTGTGATCTTGATGTCAGATGAGTCTCATATTCACAGTGTACTAATTATTCACGTATTCAGCATGGCTACGTCTAGACTGGCATGATTTTCCGCAAATGCTTTTAACGGAAAGTTTTTGAGAGAAGTGATTCTGAAGATTCTGATCTTAGTCCATATTTGGACTTCACCACAATTCAGGGCTATTGGAAACATTTCTAAAAATACCAGAGCAGAAAATAGTCCCTTCTGAGGCATCATGGACATGCTACTTCATTTATAATTATAGCATAAATTTAACCCAAAACATCTGAATGTTAAGAACAAAGGACAATGATTCCAGGTCACAAAAGAAAGGCACTTTGTTATCAGATGTAGTTCCATCAGCTTCTGAGAGTCCTTCTGGTTTTAACAGCAAGAGTAGCACTCTTCAGAGTTATTGGTCAGATCCTTGATTGTGCTTGCGTTTTGCTTGCCAAGGACAGGAACATAAATAGCTTGCATTGAGACTGGCTGTGGGTCAGTCCAGCCCTCCAATACATCTTAGATTTACCTCATGCTCTGTACCTTGCTGCTGGAATAGCCTATGGCCATACTGTGCCATACCTCAGATATGCCTCCTTGGCTAACAGCAGTGTCAGGGGTGGTAAAGAGCTGTTCTGCTGGCTCTAAACTTAGGGATATTTTTCTACTCCAGAAGGAATTCCCAGAGAGTCAGTGAAGCCGGGTTAAGGTTGCTTTATTTTAGCTGTGATTTGGACCATTACTTTGCAGTATAGCTGATGCAACAGTAAAGATATTTGGGAATAATTTTGTGAATAAAAGGGACCACATTCGTATTGCCGTGATTAATGAATGATCCTTGGCCACTGTGTTCATAAGTCCCAAAAGTCTCATGTGTTTTAAGACAACTAACTATTCATCTGAAAAAAAAGTCACAAAAGTTGGCTATTTGTTATTCTCTTGTTTAAAAACATCCATCTAAGCATTCTGCCCAGTGACTGACCAGCTGCACAACACAAACAATCACTCATTACTGAAATAACCATTCAAAAGCTACCTGTAGGATAAATAATTTTCAAAGCTGCTTGGGAAATATTTTGACAGCACATTTTACACACAGAAATCAGAATTGTTTCATCAAAAGTTCAGTAATCTAAAAAAGGGAGGAAATTTCTTTTTAAGAATAGTTCGGCCATAATTCTCAAATATTGCCACAATTATTGTAAAATACAGTGAATATACCTCAGTTAGGCCAAATCCTCATCTGTTATAAGTCAATATTGTTTCACTGACTTCCATCTGTGTGATCTGAGAGCATTTGGTAGCTGGTAGCATTCAGCCCAGGGTAAGCAGAGTTCAGATATAAACTGCTTTTTTCATAAATTCCCTTAAAATGCATTTTCTGGTCAGTCAAATGGCAGTAAGTGAAAGCTTAGTGCAAGCCATGACTTCTCCAGACGGTCATGCTAACAAGGTGCCATGATGATGACTCCCTGAATTAACAACAGTTGTAGGTAAAACAGAGCAAAAGAAAAGCAGAAGAGATACAAGACAGCTGAGAGACCTGCACAGCAACAACAGCAAAGGAACATCTGGAATGAGAAAATATTTTGACACTTTAAAAAAAAAATCCTTTGCACCTGCACTTTCTAACTTGCTATTTCCTAACTGGGAATGTTCTGTCACACACATTTTTTTTCTTTTCTCTTTTCACTAAAATGATGCAAAAGTTTAAAAAGATCTCCACAAACCTTCTGGCTAAGTTACAACTGAAATTCCTTCTTTCCATAGTTTCAGAGCAGTAGCCAAGTTAGTCTGTAATTGGAAAAACATTAAAAACAATCATCTAGCAGCTCCTTACAGATTAACAAAACATGTAGATGGTATCATGAGCTTTTGTGGGCACAAACCACTTCTTCAGACTTGCCATAGTGTCTGTATGTACACAACCGCTGCTAAATCCTGTATTACCCTAAGTACAGGAGGCCCCCAAGATGTGACCACCTGAGTTCTGACCCCTCCCCCCAAATTACAACCATTTTTGTAAGTGCAGAAGGGGCCGGAAACCCCCAACTTAGGTCCTTGGCCCACATTTATGACAGCGCACGGCCCCTACCGTAAATGCGGGTTCAAGTTATGACACCCCCAACTTGCAACGCTTCCACCGGAACTAATCATGTCGCAAGTTGGGGGCCTCCTTTCACTGGATCAAGGGTAGCCAACCCTATCTGTGAAGGGTTACCTTAGCAACATGGCACACAGAACACATTATATATAATACAATGAAACATATAAAAATCCACAAACAGTTGATAGTGCTGAACTTGTAAACTCCTAATCTATTTCTCTTTGGGTTGGCTAGACTGTGCTGCAGGAATATGGTGGCATTTATAAATCACTTTTCAATAACAGTTTACATAATATGATGCAGCAATTGGAAAATTAGCTATGCCAAAAAAAATAAAACCTTACTCCTTGCCTCCTATGTTCCAGGAAAAAGGCTAATGTAAAGCTTCTCTCTGCAGACGAAACAGTTAAAACAGATATTAAGGGCACTGCTGACATAAGCAGAGATATAGTCCATTTTCTTTAATATGCCCAGTTCACACTATTTTTGTCTTGTAGAGAGTGGTAAAAGAAATAATGTTAAGCAATTAACTCAGGAATTTTGTAGTGCTTGTAGTGGAGTTATAAATTTAACCAGGAATAGCTATTCAGGAATATGTGGACATTGGGTGCTCTTATTCTCTTATGTTCTTATCCACATGTGGAGTTAATCAGGAATAATTTATTTGCTTTAAATTCCCACCCTATCTGATTCCAGATTAACTTTCATGTAAAGACGAACTATTATGCTAATGAGAATGTAATATTCTTAAATATTACTATATTGGGTAAACTTGGAAAATTCAATTTCCTGTTTTACCTCAATTTCCCCAACTGTAAAATGGAAAGAATAATACTGATCTCTTTTGTAAAGCACTTTGAGATCTGATAATGAGATGCACTATACGAGGTATAGATATTATTATTGTTCTGTTTGTGGCATTCTGTCTCTTGTGGTTTTGGATTTCACTTTGTTGTTATTCTCATTTCTGATTTTTCCATTTTTAATTTTGTTCCCAGATCGTTAACATAGCCATGGCGAGATGCATTACTGTGGAAAACTCCACTCTGGCCTTTGAGACATGTAACATGAGCAACACGGTGAGATGTATTTGGGTTTGCACAATGGATGTCAAATAATGTCAGTTTTCTTACTTATGCTAAAGAATTTCCCTAACCTCTACCTCATTGACTCAGACTATCTTGGGACTCATCTAGACAATGCTAAAGTGTCAAAAGAGGATACGCTTTTCCTCAAAGTGAGGTTTACGTAGCTTTTCGAAAAAGGGAGGGGGGGGTTGCCGGAAAAAACCCGCGTCCAGACAATTTTCACTTTCGAAAGCTCTGCTTTCCTGTGGAATTTGCATATCCTCTTTCAACACTTTAGCATAGTCTAGATGAGCTCCGCATAGAGACTGACGTGATCCTTTCTGCTGGGAAACACTGCCAAAAGATGCCATCCTGTAAATCAAAAAATAATTTGGCTGTGTTTGTAGCAATCATAGCTCAGCAGCAGAGCCTGCAACATTTCATGAAAGCAATGAGACGCCTCACACATTCACCTAAAAAAAAAAAACCCACAGAAATCTGCAATTGACTGAAATGCAAAATTCCATACATGCCCATAGTGGAGAGAAAACTTTAAATGCAGTAGGCTCGAGTGAACACTACCACAATAACAAAGCCAGCACTGGGAGTGGGGGAGGGGGTTGGAGGGCATGGACGCTGGTGCAGGAATGGGGCTATTTCTGATGGGCAGTTCCCCTCTAATTACTAACCAATAGAGACCATTAGGCTACCTGCTAGGCCCGATCAGCAACAGTCCTAATAGAGGAGGGTTGGCTTTTGTCACTGGGCACTGTTATGCCCTTCGGGGGAGGCCAGTCTTGAAGCCCCATCATTGCAATCTGGTGCCAGCTGAAGTAGACAAATTTCCTTTTCCAAATTTGATCTGATGCTGTCTCCAACTCTTCATTTCTACATCTCAATTTATAAGAAAGAAATCTTCACTTCTCTCACCCTCACAGCTCCCCTTCGCTGAGTTCTCCTGGCGGTGGGCCACCAGGAAAGGCTTCATCAAGAACAGTTTAAGAATCTCTGTCCTAGTACACTGATAATACAGACATTAGAAATCTGAGTTCCTAAGCTACATTCCCATCTCTGCTACAGTCGTTAGAGAGTGAGATTGTGTTCTAATCAAAGTCAGAAGGAGTCTGGTCACAGAGGTCACTGAGAGCACGGTCAGGCCTTAACCCTGAACTTTTTCTGTGGATTTGCTCCACACTAACAGAACTGAAACTGACATATCTGAAACAATTATACGAAGCCTAGAGTTATGTGGCTGGATTTTTTTAGAAGCATAAGACTGAGAAATAAAGGGAAATAGCTCATAAAGTCCAAACTGAAATTAGTCTGCTACTGTTTCTTCTCCACAGAACCAGAAGTTCAACTACACTTGGCTGAGACTAATAAAGCATGGGGACTTCTGCGTAGCGCCTGTCGATGCAAAGGGAACACTGGGCCTGTACCCTTGCGATAACAGAAACAATAGCCTGAAATGGTTGCATAAATCACTGGTGGCCTTTCAACCAGAACTTGTAAGTAGAGCATTTGTAATCATTTCCCCTCTACCCCCACCATAGTTACACCTGAAATAAAACTAAACAAAAGAAAACCAATTCTTATTGCCATTATTGTATGATTTACATGTGTTTGGCGGTGAAAGAGACTATAGCAAATTCATAAAGGAAAGAGAGAGAGAGAGAGAAACACAAACACACACATGTAGTTTTTGTCTTTGTGAATTTCTGAATAGCTATGAGTGGGAAAAAAGATTGACAAAAATTGCCTTCTTTGTAATTATTTCAGGCACTCTGATTATTACTTTAACACAGTCTTAATAACCATCAAGATTATTTTCCTACAAGTTACATTGAAAGCTTACCGTCTTCCAGTGTGGTTTCTCTCCCATGGCTCCATTTACAAGTTACATTGAAAGCTTACCATCTTCCAGCGTGGTTTCTCTCCCATGGCTCCATTTACATTTCAGGGTGGTGTGTATTAGTGTGCTACCTTACCAGTGCATCACACAAAATGTAATATAATGTAACTATCCTGGCACACACACACCACCACCACCAAATCAATCAAAATACATTTTATTCTTCTCTCCCCCCCCCCCCCCCCAGCACCCAACACAATCAAAGATTTGGATATATAGATAACTCTAAGCATTTCAGAGTTCCAGGAATAATTAGAAATGATTTCCCCCCTCTGAAATGATGTGCTTTTAGAGGAGCCTTCAATTTAGGAAACAAAAATGTAGCTATTGTGTTACCAGATCAATACACAATAAGACATTTCATTATTGATTCTCCTCCTTTCCCCCTCCCCCCCCCTTTTTGGATAACCTAAAGCAATAACAAAAAACCCTCCTCAAACAAAACAAAACAAAACAAAACAAAACAAAAATCACTCCTTACAAAAGCCAGGATGTTTTGTAAACATAAAAGAAAATTGTCAGCCGTTTAAGAGACCAGATTGCACAGTAGGTATAGTGACCATTTTTGATGGTCTGAAACAGTTCCAGGCTGAACTTCAGGCTATACGCTAGATACTTTTGATGGTTCCTGCTAGGATACAGAAAGTCATGTTTCATTTTACAAAGCCACAATACCTAAATAAGCATTGATTGGATAAAGTATCTGCAAGGGACTGAACTAATGTTTACCAAAGTAGGATGGATTAGTTTTTTAAGAAAGCAAAGCCCTAGACAGTGAAAGAAGAAAGTACCTGCGCTGTGCAATGAAAGACAGTCAAAACTAATAAATCAGTCCCTCTCCTTTGAAAACAGCCACAAAAACTCACAAGCCAAAAAGATTTGAATGCCTTTTTCCCCCTCAATTTGAGTGAGACAAGCTGTGTGATTCTTATTTTGTGGATTATGGTATGTGCTTTATTGTTAAGGTTGTAGTGAAGTTTTCATTTCAATCTAAATTTGGCCACTAGCTAAACTCTATAAAAAGTCAGTCTCAGAATTGATAAGTTAGTTCTGAGCCAAGGTAAAATTTTTCCACAAAAATTGAAGTTAATTGAGCTGCTGTCTCAGTTGAAAATATCTAATTCTTCTACCACTTTACAGCAAAAGCGCAATACAAAACATACTCAAAAAACCCAGAAAGATGGAGAGAAATAAAGCTTATTTTATGACACCAAAACTAATTTCAATTAAAATGCAATTTCAGAAGGGATCACTTTTTAAATCAGGAACATCACTGGGGACCTTCTGCCTTACTGAGCATAATACAGCAAGTGAAAGGACTTTAGAGATATTTAAATTAAAAAATAACTCACTAGCACATTATGGAAACAGAACTCAGAGTGTAAATTTCTCACTGGGGATATCGGGTAATGGAGAGAAAACATCTTCCATCAAAAAGCTTCTACCTGGAAACATTGAGTACCCTGAGCTCTCCCCTCATGCAAGTCTGTAGAAGCTCATAAGGAACAATCTTCTCTCGGGCCCAGTGTTCAGCGTAGGGGCTAGAATTAGGGTCTATCTCTAGCTAAAAATAAACATGGGGTGCACACAGTTGTGTTAGCACTGCTCTGGGGATCGAGGGATGTCATGGGCTTGACTCACGTTGGTGGCATCTCCTCCAGGCTACCCTGGGGATTAGTTCCCGCTAGGCATTAGGCACTCTTCTGAAAGGGTCTCTCTCATTTTGCAGCTCCCCTCTCATTCTAGAAATCACAACTCCCTCTTTGTGACTTACCTCTCCAACCATGTCACTCCATGGGTCTCTTTTCAGGGTACATGTAACCAGATCTTTCCAGGATTCTCACATAGTTGCTGCCCTCTGCTTGGTCTGTGCCATATCCCCAATGAGTGGTTGGAAAAAAACAGGCCTACATACTACTCCAGGTTCCAGTCCAAAGTCACTGTAACTGCAACTACAACCTGCTATCCTGCAACCCTTGTGCCTACTTCCTACTCCTCCTAGTAGGAGTTCCAAATCTTCCTCATCTTCTCAGGAAGTAGCTGCAGCTTTTCCCAGCAGCCCTTGTCATTGTCAGCTTCCTGGGTCTATAGGCCCTATCTGTTCCTGACCAACTGAGTCTACTTTCAATAAATTCACTGCACTCTGGCTTCCACTCCAGGTGCAGCCTGTAGAGTTAATTCACTGGCCTGGCCATTTTAATCCCTTTCAGTCTTGAGTGAGGTAGACATCCTATCACAAGGGCTACTTATCTCTTACCACTGAGTTAGCCAGCAGAACACACATGACTCTAGTCCAACTCCTACAAAGGCAATAGCTATTGTTCATTTCATTTTGAATTGTTTAGGGATGATAGAGTGCAATGTCAGAATTCAGAGATATAGGGTCAAGGGTGACATGCTCCAAAAGTGTGGACCATCCTACAGGTGATTACATTTGGAGCCTGATAGAATGGAAGAATTTTGTGGGGTTCTGGAAAACGCTGTCTCTGAAAAAAAATAATTCTAAAAAAGGACACAATTTGGAGAGGATACCTAACAGAATCTAATACCTGACTTTCTAATGTGCTTGTCACCATGCTGTCTACAACAGGTGGGATCCAGTCTGCAAGTTTAGCCACTATCTTGACCTGCACGGCCACAGATACCAGCAATCACATGTCCTGTTGGCTGCAGTATCCCAGTTCTTGCCGCTTCCCACCACTCCCATTGGCTGGGAATGATGATCTGCAGCCAACAGGCACTGTGAGGGCTGTGCAGGTAAATACAGGGGCTAACCCTGGGGAACCATCACCATGTTATTCCCTACCCTTGGACTAATTGAATACAGTGCATTATAATCCAGTTAGGATCACATTCACTGGCTTTCTATATAGTACTAGAACTAGATGCTGTTTTTCTGAAAGATCATTTGAAAGTTGATTACAGACTGGTTTGAATTATTACATAACAAGGGTTACAAATTAGTCACTCCAACAACTGACTATTGCAAACCAGAAAACAAGGGAGAGGAGGGAAATGGGTTAATGCTGGTCACACAGGAATAGTGAAGTCTTTACCCCTCATCTAGTGTCATAATTTTTGTCAACTCGCTCAGTGAATTTGTCATTTACATACAAAGCCCCCTTACTTGTTCAAATAAAATGGTCTATTGGCAGTTTCACTAATATTTCACCAAAATACATGATTCAAATTATGCTATCAAATGTTACACAGAGCAAAGCAATAATATACCACTGAGGACACTTGTAGTATTGCCATACTGGAAGTCTGTATGAGCAGGTTTAAAAAATGCACAGATAAGTGCAAAAGGATCAGAATACGATCCCTAATCATTCAAATGCCATATGATTTCATAATCCAATTTAGCATCGCATCCCTAGGACTTAATTAACAAATTAACTAATGCACTTTTCATTGTGGTAAGTATGCTTTTACTTCACTAGTTGAGAAATACTACAGTATGAAAACCAATGTCTCCTGCCATACATTATCCTACATTGCAAATGCCATCTGGAATCATTTCCTTTGCATGCTAATTACCATTCAGACAGCAAGCGAACTAATCCATTAATTTCCAAAGAATTAAAATCCAACAAAACACAGAAGGTAAAATATAGTTCTAGTGCAACAACAGGTGTAAACGTTGGATGCCACCCACATTGCCTTTAAGCCTAGGAATGAATCATTCCATAATGAAGAAGTGCAAAGGAATAAAAAATCTCCACAAGGGAAAACTGAGAATAATTCTGAAGCTTTATTTTCCAGTTACAAGTAATAACAATTGTTGTGTGTGTCCTGTAACCTATTGTCATGTGCTGTTTCTCTTTAGATGGATCACTTGGTTTTAGAACACCTTCAGCCGCCAACATGTCTGGAAGTGGATCAGTCTCACAAAACCCTGAGGGTTAATGCCTGTGATGCCTCAAATCCTTATCAGAAATGGCAGTTTGGAAATTATTATGCTGACTGAAGAGAACATGATCAAAACAGAAACAGATAATTCTAATCTTGTGAATTCAAGAATGACATCTGTGAGACTTGTGACAGCAATTACAAAATTGGAGGTTCATTTTCTAATGGTAATTGAAATCCATCATTTTAAATTACCATATTGAGAGATCAAAATATCAAACAACAGCACATCTGTTTGATAAAGTGTAAAACTCTCAGATATGTTTTCCAATCACTGTGGAGCACTTAGGGAAGGTTGAATGAAAGTTTTTTCAGTACATGGAAATACTTTCTAAAGTTTCTTAGTCCCACCTTAAGAAGACCTTTACTAACAGGCTTCAGGCAAATTAATGCATGCTACCAGAAATAATTCCAGGGTTCCACCCCTGTGAGTTCATGTAGCATCTTGTGCTGCTGTTTGGATGATTCACATTTGGTCATTTATTCCTCCATAAGCCAACAAAATGAGAGTATCCCAGATCTGGTACCTAAAACTCCTTCCAGTATCACAGGAACTTGCTCCCACCAAATTGGATATACGGATTCTGACAGGTATGTGCCTGAAGCCACATTTGATGCTTCATTTCCCATGACAAAAGCCCATCTTTAATCACAACAAATAAATCTTTAGGAACTTGTCAAGTGGCAACAGGCAAGGCCCTGTAAATGGTATATTTGCACACAGGGACCTTGAATTTGCTACCTTGGTTTGACCTCCTGGTTTCTGAATGGGCCAGGAGTGATTAGGCTGCAAAGGAATGTTCAGTGGGTAAGTGGGATGAGCCTCATCTAGCTTTATAGCTAACCCTCTGGGCCAACCCAAGAACAGGATGAATGCAGTAGACTCAAAAGAGCTTCTCCATTCAGTTCTTTTCAGCCAGAAAGAAGTGCCTCAGCCCAGCATAGAGCCATAAAAAGAGAAAATAAACCAAAGGATGTGGAAACAATGAAGTGATGAGATGAAGATCCTCAGAAGGGGCCTGTTTTACCTGAAAAAAAACTGGCATGCAGGGACTTGCTTCTCACTATGAGTGAATGCAAGATGACAGCCACATACTGCTGGCCATGAATTCATGGCTCCCACCTTACAGGTTCCTGGGTAGACCACCTTTTATGTAATAGTACTGTACATGCATTCAATGCAAAGCAAACAAGAAAAACTTAAATTATGTTAAACTTTGAAAAAGGGGGATAAAAGCTGAGAAACTCTAAGTCTACATTAATTGTCAGTTCCTTTCTCGTACCACTATGGGGGGAGGGGAGAGGAAATGGAATCTTCATTTTTCATAGAATAGAAAATGCTCTGTAATAAAAGCCATCAATGTATTTGTACCAAATTATCTCATTCTGTTCTCCCAGATGAATGAGAATGTAGACAGTTGTTAAAAGGATGTAATAGGAGATTAGGCGTTGATGAATATTCCTGTCTGTTGAGTGCAAACATCCATATATTTTTAAAATCCATTTAATTGACTGAGCTGTAGCTAGCCTGTGATGCAGACACATGGACAGGGCAAGTCCCGTGCTTTGCTGAAGGAGCTGTGCATTGTCGGTGACAGCTCTGTGCCAGGTAAAAGCCCAGGAAGAGGATGTTTCAGGGTGGGTAGAATGCAGCATGTGCACTAGATGACTACAGAGGTGTAATGTCTCCTAAATGACTTTGCCCATTTGAAGGTCCAGCATTGCAGATGGCATAATAGCTGGTGCTATCTCCTTCTGATCCCCTAAGTACTAACTAGTTCCTACCTTGCTGCTAGTAGGGAGAAGGGATGGAAGTGGCTCCCTACATCTGCTTGTGCCCTAGCGCAGTCATACAGTGGTGGGCAGGAGCTAGTCTTGGCACTGTATGGATTAATGGCACATTGATGGACAAAGAAGTTGTATTAAGAATTGGCTAAACCACGCACAAACCTTTAGATATTGCAGGATTGGTGTGCTAAAAAAGCACCCTGAGCAAGGCTCTGGAGCCCCTCTCATAGCCCTCCCATCCCATCCAACGCCTCCCTACTGGACCTATCTGCCTGGCCTATGCTATCCTACCCAGAGTCCTTCAACTCCCCTCTTACCTTGTAGTGATGACTCATTGCCTTCTTCAGATAACCACTGGCTATGCTGACCAGTTCAGTAGGAATGACAGGGTCTTGAGCAGATACCTCGCTAATACTAGTAGCAGTGATAGCCCCAGTACTCCTCTTATGCCCTGGGTAGGAGGGTAATGCAGGAGCCAGTTCTGCTAGCTTTATTGCAACAGAGTTCCTTCCACCAGGGGAATTCTTTCCTGGGTGTTTGCAGCCAGAATCTAGTCCATACCATTAAAAAGCCCACTAAAGTAAAAAAGCATCATGCTTGAAAAAAAGACTGCAGAATTTAGTGCTCCCTGTTCTTGATAAAAAGCTTATTCATGTACCTTACAAAGAAGATAAGATTTTGGAGTGCAGGGAAAATGAGAACTCACCTTTATTCTTACAGCTATACTCTCAATTGACAAAACTTAACAACTGAATGTCCCTATGAATTAATCCTCATGCACATTTTTCATACTGTGAAACTTTAAAAAAGATCTTTTATGTCCATAGTATGTGAAGGGAGAAATTATACTGAAACAACTGTCATCAGTTAGTGAAACAACATTTAGTTACAACTGATAGGGTCAAATTCAGCTGTGACACGATATCTGCATCCAAGGTATCATAATCTTTTGCACATGAGACTTTCTTTGACCTTTTTATTATACCTTTTCATGTTTTTGTTATAGTAAACTGGAGACTCATAAGTGTGAATGGTCCATAAAAGAAATGTAGTTCTTATGTTCCTTGGCCATTGCCTTGTACATCAAAAAATTGGCTTAGTCAAATATGAGCATGTTGACTTATTTCTCTACATACATAGGACTGGACTTTCAACTCAGTTTGTATATTGTTGTTGTTGTTCATGACAGCCAAACTTTCGCCATTTCTAACATTTACAGACGGTTACAAAATAACTGATCTTTGCTCTTTACATTTTCAAAAAGATCTCTGTATAATTTTACCTTTCACATCAAGTATTTGACAGACTGATCCTGCCAAAATATTGATTTGCTTAACAGACTTGCACAGTTGGCTTGTATCCTAACTGTCTTCCTGATTTTTCTCCTCTATCGTAATATGACTAGCCTGAAGTCGCTATCAGAACAATTACACAGATGTTGTTTGGGCAGTCATGTTTTATCAGGAGCATGAATTTCATTAAATCTTGCTTGCTGACATTCAATCATTTGTCATTTAACAGGCACCAAATGGGCATGTGTCATGGTCACATCACATTTCTAGTCTTGTCATTTGTGCTGTTATTTCTGATTTGTGTAAATGTTCACTTCAGTGTTGGTATCTCTTATTCAACATCTCTAGCATGTCCCTAGGGATTACTGGTAATAATACTGTTGCTGTTACACAACATAAAAAAAACCACTCAGATTATACCAATCAGCCTTGTCTGAGAGCATTTTTCTGGCATACACAGTAAATATTCAAAGAGGAAGCCTGCATATGTTTTTCTAGGTTTCAGGGAACAACTCACAGTTGCATTTGTCCAAGAGGACCTCCTAGAGTCCAGTGAAGAATACCTGCTCACCCATTGACATACCCATGCAAAAAACCAGATTACTATTACCAAATCCAGGATCCTTATTTCACATATGTAAATGAAAATCACTTCAAATTAGAAAAATGAGAGGTCATTTACTAGAATGGGCCTTACTCCCTTCAGCAATTCTTCTACAACTGTGCATATGTTACCAGCTCTTCTGTAGCCATGAGTGGCTTTGACTTGCTTGGCTAGGATACAGAAAGATGATGATCATGGTCAGCTTTTCAAAAACAAAGAACAATTTTAACACTTTGCAGGGATGTCATTTACAGCCTATGTTCCAAACACTGCCCTCTCATAAATGGTGTCTTTGAATCATAGAAGTGAGAAATGCATAGGACTTCTTAACTCACATACCATCCCCCATGCCAATGTGGGATTATCATCTGTTATAGTATATTATATGATAGAGCACACATGCGAGCACACATATTCTGTTCCATTCTATAGTCGGAAAGGCTTGTGCAATTAAGGGTACAAAATAGCATCTCTCCATTCCTATGAGAATGATTTTAAAAGGTATAACAGTGAAATGCATAGCAATCTTTTCCAGAGATTTTTTGGCCAAAGATAGCAAAAAATAGAATAATTCTAATATAACAGCAATATTTACCTCTAAAGATATCACCTAACTTTTCTAAAGAATCATTAAAGATGCTACACTTGGAACCTGGGAACAGAGCTTTGGGGACCAAGAATTGGGCCCTCGGGAGGGTAGGTGTTGGTTGTTGGCAAACTTGGAGAATCCTTTATCCTGTGTTGTTAGTCCAGAAAGCAGGGGCAACTTACTTCAGCAACGGGCCACTCCAGTAGTCAGGGAACCCCAGATCACATTACTGCTCATCATGCCTCCTTTACCCCCACCTCCCCACCCCACCAAGAGTCCTAGACAGGAACCCCCAGCAATGTTCCCTCTAATCTTTTCCACACGTGCAAATTTTTTTCCGTCCATGTGCAGAATAAATGGTTTTATGTGTACAATGGTATGTGAACCATCACTAGAAACAAAATACTTAGCTGTTTGGCACTTTGCTAATCAGCTGGGCAGCATCTGAATCACTCCTCAGCTGCCCCACAAGCGCTCAGCTTATAGGAAACGTGGATCCTCACTTAAGGTATGTCTACACTGCAATCTGAGATATGATTGCAGCACATTTAGGCATACCCAAACTGGCTTTAATCGTGCCAATTCACTAAATATGGAACTGAAGCCGTGGCAACACAAGTGGCAATGGCACGGAAGAGGGATCCATGCAAGACTGGACTTGAGCTGGTAGGCTGTAGTGACACCATGTTGACAGTACTATTTTTAACAAGGTTGTTTGAGCAAAGCTGGTTTGTGGGTGGGGGGGTGCCTGTATGTGCTGCAATTGCATTTCCCAATCGCAGTGCAGTGATACCCTTAAATCAATTTTAGGACTGCTTTGGGCATGTGAGCTGTACAAATCAGCCATCCACCACCGGCCAGAGTCTGACTCTTGTTCATTGTCCACATGCAACTCAACTGTTCAATTTGTATTACAAATGGTGCTGGGTACTGTTTATTTTTTAGGTGATGAATTGTCGATGTAGGTATCATTCCACATATAACAGAACTTCCTGAACTGTACCCTTTTATTTTGGTTTCAGTTTGTACCAATTCAAAACATTATGAGACTATTTCTGACTAAAAGCATTCTTTGTACACAATGACACTATGCAATGTAAATATCTCAAATGTAAAAAATTGTAAGAGTGCTAGCTTCATTCATTTCTATGTTGATGAGAAAGGTGTACATGTTTTTAAAATGTGAACAAAGGTCTTTATAAAATGTGATTTATAGTGGATTTTAAAAGTCCATATATGCTGCAAGGAAACAGGCCTTCACCATGTCAATTTATCCAAGTGGTCAGGATCCAAAAGGCTGAAGCTGAAAACCTTGTTTGAATTGTACAAAAAAAAAAGGAGTTAGAAAATATGGAAATAAAAGACTACATTAATATTCTGCCTGGAATGTCTCTATGGTTCCTGGTCACTAGCTTTCCTGAATACCATGGAATGTTTCTTTTCCTGGGTTATTGTTGAGTAACACTCTAGATTATTAAAATGTAAAGAACTTTAAAATCTCCAGTTCACTTTGTTCCAATTATGCTGCTTATTTACATATTGCATTTCACTTATCTTAGCTAATGAAAATAGACCTTCCTCTACTGAATCTGGTTGTTGTTCATATTGGTTGTAGCAGACACTGTGGGAGGATGCTGAAATCCAAATTAAAAATTTGTAATTGAAATAGTTAAAAAAGAAATATCCATCAACATCAGCTTTTCTAAAACACTCAGGACTCCTCAGGTGTGTACCAACATCACATGACAGATCATATTATCCAATGTGGAAAGCAGCCAAATCCTTGAAATGTGTGTGACATGTGCCAGTTAGTCATCTATCATGGGGTCTGATCCAGAACCATTTAACTGAATGGGAGTTTTGTCATTGACCTCAATGGAAATAGAATCAAGTCCATAGACCCTTTCACCCTAAAAAGAATTTTCATCCCTTTGTTCTATTCCTGAGATGGGGGATTTCACATAGAATCATAGGACTGGAAGGGACCTCGAGAGGTCATCGAGTCCAGCCCCCCGCCCTCAAGGCAGGACCAAGCTCCGTCTACACCATCCCTGACATATGTCTATCTAACCTGTTCTTAAATATCTCCAGAGAGGGAGATTCCACCACCTCCCTTGGCAATTTATTCCAATATTTGACCACGCTGACAGTTAGGAATTTTTTCCTAATGTCCAATCTAAACCTCCCCTGCTGCACTTTAAGCCCATTACTCCTTGTCCTGTCCTCAGAAACCAAGAGGAACAAATTTTCTCCTTCCTCCTTGTGACACCCTTTTAGATATTTGAAAACCGCTATCATGTCCCCCCCATAATCTTCTTTTTTCCAAACTAAACAAGCCCAGTTCATGAAGCCTGGCTTCATAGGTCATGTTCTCTAGACCTTTAATCATTCTTGTCGCTCTTCTCTGTACCCTTTCCAATTTCTCCACATCTTTCTTGAAATGTGGCGCCCAGAACTGGACACAGTACTCCAGCTGAGGCCTAACTAGTGCAGAGTAGAGCGGCAGAATGACTTCACGAGTTTTGCTTACAACACACCTGTTGATACAACCTAGAATCATATTTGCTTTTTTTGCAACAGCATCACACTGTTGACTCATATTCAACTTGTGGTCCACTATGACCCCTAGATCCCTTTCCGCCATGCTCCTTCCTAGACAGTCGCTTCCCATCTTGTATGTATGGAACTGATTGTTCCTTCCTAAGTGGAGCACTCTGCATTTCTCCTTATTAAACCTCATCCTGTTTACCTCTGACCATTTCTCTAACTTGCTAAGGTCATTTTGAATTATGTCCCTATCCTCCAAAGAAGTTGCAACCCCACCCAGTTTGGTATCATCTGCAAACTTAATAAGCGTACTCTCTATCCCAATATCTACATCATTGATGAAGATATTGAACAGTACGGGTCCCAAAACAGACCCTTGAGGAACTCCACTTGTTATCCCTTTCCAGCAGGATTTAGAACCGTTAACAACAACTCTCTGACTACGGTTATCCAGCCAATTATGCACCCACCTTATCGTGGCCCTATCTAAGTTATATTTGCCTAGTTTATCAATAAGAATATCATGCGAGACCGTATCAAATGCCTTACTAAAGTCTAGGTATATGACATCCACCGCTTCTCCCTTATCCACAAGGCTCGTTATCCTATCAAAGAAAGCTATCAGATTAGTTTGGCATGACTTGTTCTTCACAAACCCATGCTGGCTATTCCCTATCACTTTATTACCTTCCAAGTGTTTGCATATGATTTCCTTAATTACCTGCTCCATTATCTTCCCTGGGACAGACGTTAAACTGACCGGTCTATAGTTTCCTGGGTTGTTCTTATTCCCCTTTTTATAGATGGGCACAATATTTGCCCTTTTCCAGTCTTCTGGAATCTCCCCTGTCTGCCATGATTTTTCAAAGATCATAGCTAAAGGCTCAGATACCTCCTCTATCAGCTCCTTGAGTATCCTGGGATGCATTTCATCAGGACCTGGTGACTTGCTGACATCTAACTTTCCTAAGTGACTTTTAACTTGTTCTTTGTGAATCCTATCTTCTAAACCTACCCTCTCTCTGCTTGTATTCACTACGTTAGGCACACCTCCAGACTTCTCGGTGAAGACCGAAACAAAGAAGTCATTGAGCATCTCCGCCATTTCCAAGTTTCCTGTTACTGCTTCTCCCTCCTCACTAAGCAGTGGGCCTACCCTGTCCTTGGTCTTCCTCTTGCTTTTAATGTATTTATAAAAGGTCTTCTTGTTTCCCTTTATGCCTGTAGCTAGTTTGATCTCATTTTGTGCCTTTGCCTTTCTAATCTTGCCCCTGCATTCCCGTGTTGCTTGCCTATATTCATCCTTTGTTAGTTGTCCTAGTTTCCATTTTTTATATGACTCCTTTTTTATTTTGAGATCATGCAAGATCTCCTTGTTAAGCCAAGCTGGTCTTTTGCCATATTTTCTATCTTTCCTACACAGCGGAATTGTTTGCTTTTGGGCCCTTAACAACGTCCCTTTGAAATACTTCCAACTCTCCTCAGTTGTTTTTCCCTTCAGTCTTGCTTCCCATGGGACCTTACCTACAAGTTCTCTGAGCTTATCAAAATCTGCCTTCCTGAAATCCATAACCTCAATTGTGCTGGTCTCCCTTCTACCTTTCCTTAAGATCATGAACTCTATTATTTCATGATCACTGTCCCCTATACTGTCTTCCACTTTCAAGTTCTCAACTAGTTCCTCCCTATTTGTTAAAACCAAATCCAGAACAGCTTCTCCTCTGGTAGCTTTTTCAACCTTCTGAAACAGAAAGTTGTCTCCAATGCAGTCCAGAAACTTATTGGATAGCCTGTGCCCCGCTGTGTTAGTTTCCCAACATATGTCTGGATAGTTGAAGTCCCCCATCACCACCAAATCTTGGGCTTTGGATAGTTTTGTTAATTGTTTAAAAAAGGCCTCATCCACCTCTTCCACCTGGCTAGGTGGCCTGTAGTAGACTCCTAGCATGATATCACCCTCGTTTTTTACCCCTTTTAGCTTAACCCAGAGACTCTCTACACAGCTATCTCCTACGTTCATCTCCACTTCAGTCCAAGTGTGTACATTTTTAATATACAAGGCAACCCCTCCTCCCTTTTTTCCCTTGGGGGGAGAGGGAAGAAAAGAGGGTGAGAGTGGGAGGTGGAAACCTGGGAGGAGGGAGCTGGAAGGGGGAGGCATGGGGAGGAAGGGGGAGGAGAAGCTCAGGGCTCGGGGTTGGGGATCTCGCCAGCCCAACTATCTCCCAGCATCACGGGTGGGGTGCCTCGGCATCTCCGGGAGGGTTGGAGGGTGTGGAGGTAGTAGTGGGAAGTGGAGAAGGAGTGAGAGGAGGAACGGTAGCTGGGGAGACAGCCGGGGTAGGAGCGGCAGGAGGCAGCAATCTCTACACCAGGGTCTCACAGATGGCACGGCCCTGGGCAAGCAGCTCCTACCAGCTCTCTCACCGGAGCTGCAGGTCTTCTTGCACCCAGTGCTCCAAGGTGCAGTGAAAGACTTGCAGTGCCCCCATGTGCTGCCGCTGATAGTCCTCTTGTGCACAGGTCAGCCTGCAGAATGCTCGGGTGTAGGAGGATGTCCTGGGTAGTGTGGTGGGCCCTGCACTCGCAGCTGGTGCAGCTGTGGAGAAACAAGCGAAGTGGTCAGTTATCCATGGGGACACAGTGGGTGAATCCCAGCCTGCCTCTGCAAGCCAGAACGACAGTTCTCCGCACCATCAAAGCTGATGTGCTTGCACACAGGCCATGTTCGGGACGTCCTGCTACCCCGGGAGTGGGAGTTGCCCCGAGACTGCACCCATGCCCCTGTGCTGCATCAGTGTTGCAAATTTTTTTCCGTCCATGTGCAGAATAAATTTTGTTATTGAGGGGTGGGGAGATGTCCCCTGCCTCTGTGTTTTATGTGTACAATGGTATGTGAACCATCACTAGAAACAAAATACTTAGCTGTTTGGCACTTTGCTAATCAGCTGGGCAGCAATGGCGTCCTGCTGTGTCCCATTCTGGGTTCAGGAGCATGTCATGTCTCTTCACATGCATGTGGCTAACAGGCCATCAGCTGCCCCACAAGCGCTCAGCTTATAGGAAACGTGGATCCTCACTTAAGGTATGTCTACACTGCAATCTGAGATATGATTGCAGCACATTTAGGCATACCCAAACTGGCTTTAATCGTGCCAATTCACTAAATATGGAACTGAAGCCGTGGCAACACAAGTGGCAATGGCACGGAAGAGGGATCCATGCAAGACTGGACTTGAGCTGGTAGGCTGTAGTGACACCATGTTGACAGTACTATTTTTAACAAGGTTGTTTGAGCAAAGCTGGTTTGTGGGTGGGGGGGTGCCTGTATGTGCTGCAATTGCATTTCCCAATCGCAGTGCAGTGATACCCTTAAATCAATTTTAGGACTGCTTTGGGCATGTGAGCTGTACAAATCAGCCATCCACCACCGGCCAGAGTCTGACTCTTGTTCATTGTCCACATGCAACTCAACTGTTCAATTTGTATTACAAATGGTGCTGGGTACTGTTTATTTTTTAGGTGATGAATTGTCGATGTAGGTATCATTCCACATATAACAGAACTTCCTGAACTGTACCCTTTTATTTTGGTTTCAGTTTGTACCAATTCAAAACATTATGAGACTATTTCTGACTAAAAGCATTCTTTGTACACAATGACACTATGCAATGTAAATATCTCAAATGTAAAAAATTGTAAGAGTGCTAGCTTCATTCATTTCTATGTTGATGAGAAAGGTGTACATGTTTTTAAAATGTGAACAAAGGTCTTTATAAAATGTGATTTATAGTGGATTTTAAAAGTCCATATATGCTGCAAGGAAACAGGCCTTCACCATGTCAATTTATCCAAGTGGTCAGGATCCAAAAGGCTGAAGCTGAAAACCTTGTTTGAATTG